CCCCAGGGGTGTCCAGGCAGCAGTTGCCTCCTGCCTGGTGTGGGCAGCCCTCATTGGTCCCAGCCCCGTGCCCACTCATCCCCCTGCCACCCTTGGCTCCTGCCTCCCTGAGAGCAGGAAGCTCCTTCTGCACCGGACACTCCAGCCCCCACTCCCTCTGCAGTGCTCCTCTACTCCTCCAGGTCCAGGCCAAAGCTATTTGGGGATGCTTGGATAAAAAACAGTGGATTGTTTTGATGTTGGAATTTTATTTTACTTTTTGGCTTTAAGATACTACTTGGACACACTCCTAGACCAAAACCAAGCCCCAGCTGCACATCTGTGCCTGCTCATACCTTGCTCCTACATTTCCATCACTCCCAAAGTGCCTCCCTTCTCTCCAGCAGCAGCCCCAGCCCCAGCCAGTCTTTCTGCCAGGGTAGGTTGGCTGCTTGCATGGCTGCAGGTCTGTGTTGCAGACGCTGCTGTGGAAGCCAGTCCCACGGGCATGGGGAACTCAGAGTTTACAGTGGGACTGTCAGGCTGAGCTGAGACCTGGTTTCAGCACAGGAGTTCAGGGCTGACAAACAGTGCAGGCGCATAGGGCAGAACTCTCCAGTCCTGCCGCTGCCTCAGCTGCCCAGGAGCTGTGGGAAGAGCAGGCAGGAGTCTACAAGTTCCTTAAATTTTGGAAGGGCAGCTCATGAGAACAAGGATTTGCCAGTGTCTAGCTGCTCTGCGCCTTGGAGCTGGTCCTACACCACCACACACAAGCTCACATGCTGTTTCCAGCTTCCCAAAATTATTTGAGGTACTTTGGCAGCAGCGGGGGAGACACAGCAGCTTGCCCACGCAGCTCATGTACTAGCACCACGTTGTTGGGCCTCAAATGCTTGGCAGCTGCTCTGCCTCTTCACGAGATGCCACCTGCTCACTGTAGTCGCCCTCTAATCGCAGCTTGGCCGCTGCCCTGCGTGCTGCTGGGCCTGGAGCAGTGAGCTTGGTCCCCTCCTGGCTCAGCGCACGGCGCACGGCAGCGCCAAGGGCAGGGGCAGGTTACATGCAGCCTCTGTTGAGGCTGCAGACAGCATCCACCCTTGCAGTGTCAGGTGAAAGCCTTTTCTGTTGGCTGTAGGTACAAGGCAGCTGGGAATGACGATGTTTGCAGAGCAGTGGTGAGAGAAGCCAGGGCATGCTTCTCTGCTGAGCAGTTTGCTTCATTCCCCCCCCAGCATTACCAGTGGATCCCATTTCCCTCAGCACCACTTCCACCCTGATGGCAAAGCCATGGTCTCGGCTCCCCCAGGGAGCAGGAAGGCCAGCCCTTTCCATCACTACTGCCAAAAAAGGCGTTCTCCTTCCCCATCCTCCAGCAAGAGCAGGGGCACAGCTCTGGACAGAACCAGGGCTGCCCCCACACCCCTGCCAGGCAGTTTGGCTGTGGCAAAACAGGAGCTGCTTTCCACAGCGCGTCCCCTCGCCGTCGGCTGGAGAGGGCCAATTTTAGCAGACAGCACTGCATGTTAGTTTACAAACCCAGCCCTGCACGTTTGGCCTCTGTGAGTGTTCAGTTTCCCCATGGAGCACCCTTCTGCCGCTCCACCGTGGTGAAGACAGTGTCCTCCTCTGGTAGACATGCAAGTTCCTCCTTGGCACATGCGCAGACACGGTCCGGTTTTTGTTCCAGACAGGAAGGTCTTGACCCCCCAGTTTGTTTTACAGGCAGGCTGCTGCCGGGAGCAGTGTGAGCAGCACGACCCACGGGAGGGTGGGCTGGAGTGTGGCCGCAGCAGGCAGAGCATTCAGCCAGCACGTGGTGCTGGTTGTGTGTGCTCCAGTCTCTGCTGTGGGAGTGCCAAGCAGCCCTGGCCCTGGCGTGGGGCAGTGGGCAGCTCAGGTCGCTGTGGTGGGCAGCTCAGGTCGCTGCAGCCACCACACAGCACAGGCAGTGAGCCACAGGGCAGCAGGGATGGGAGGCACAGGCAGTGTCCAGCCTGGGTGGGTGCTGGTCCGTGGCTGGACAAGAGGAAGGACAAGAGACCGCACAAGGGCAAGAGTTGCACTAGAAGAGTCAAGACCCTCCTCTGTGTAGCAGGACTAAAAACTAGCAGAAAGACCGAAAGGTCTGAGATTTGCTGGTTACAACACTTTCTGTGCTACATGTGCAATATATTTGTTATGAATGTTATCACAGTCGGTTCATTCAATACTCTTTTAATCACTGTAGCTAGATGTTCTCCGTCCATTCAAGTGACTTTTATTCGAGTGCAATATTTCAATAGACATGTAGTGACCTAGAATGCTTTGTGTTTTAGAGAATCTGTGTGCAGAGCAATGCAATTAAGTTTAAAACCTTGTAAATAAAACAGGTTGCAAACCAAAAAAAAGAAGTATTAGGCTTGCATTTAATTTCTGTGCGTGTTTCAGTGTTGTGCATTAGGCCGCCTCGGTGCAGACCCCGTGTTCTCTGTGCAGGTGTTCATGGAGGAGTGGCTCCTCAGCTGTTGAATGCTCCCTGTTACTGCTTTACTGCTTTACCTGTATTCATTTTTCTAGACTCCTGTCTGCACAAAATGCAATAAATGATTTTATTACACCCTTCGCTACTTGCACGGGGACTTTTCACTTGCTTCCAGGTCTCCACCAGCTATCTTGCACCCTTTCCATAACACGGAGCAAGCTCTGAGAGGGTGCAGCAGATTGCAGAGGAAGCAAAACACAAGGAGAGGAACAGCCTCTCCCAAAGTTTCACCTCATGCAGATTTCAGCAAGGGCGCTTTGCACAGCTGCAGGGTTGTAGAGGTGGAGAAATAGATACAGGAGAGGGGAGGAGGGATGGCAGACACACACTGACGTTCAGATTTGGGCTGTGCGGCGACAGCAGCACAAAGTCTTGGGAAGCTAGTGCTGAAGGCACAGGGACTTAACAGCCCCAACCTCACCCAGCAGCTGCAGCACAGGCACAGAGCAGCCCCAGCCACCCCTCCCACCACAGAGCTGGAGAGGCTCTGGATCTCTCCCGCCAGCCCTCCCACACGCTGCTCCCTGACCTGACACACTGCCCAGGATCATCCCAGTCCTGTGTGAGAGTAAGTACCTGTGACATCCCTCAAACCAAGGTGCTACAAAACTGAGACAGCACCAATACTCTCACAGCCAGTCGCAGTGAGGTCTGCAGGTGTACGGTGCAGTACCCAGCGCAGAGCAGTGTCTGGCACAGCTTACCCAGGAGAGGACAGTAACCCTGAACACAGTGGAATAATGTATTCCAGGAGTACTCAAGTGTCAAAAAATCCAACAATTCATTTTTCCAGCCTTTTATTAGAAAGTAATGTCCTCTTGTTAACAGCACAGAGAGAAAAGAAATGCTACAACACAAACCACCTGGGACAAAGAAAATCTTGTTTCAATCCACTGCTTCCTCAGTGTCTCTTGGTTCCCTGCAGGAAGCCCATAGACTCCAAGAAGGCCATGACAGGGAGGACAACACAGTTAAGAGATGTTTTGTGTTCTGGTATCAAAGTATGTTACCAGCTAAAAATCACTGCCTGATTTTCCACTCCACTGTCCACTGTAGCTACCAAAGCTTTGAAAAACTGTATAAAATTATGGTATTGCATCTTGGCACTGCCTCTCCTCCTCAAATGGACAGAACACATCAACAGCAACGTGAGGTGTCAGAGAGCAGCATTCTCCCCCAGTACCTGGCAGCAGGTATTCCCAGGGGAGGGCCAGCAGCACACAGGTATGGCTGCAGCTGAGCTACAGTAACAACCGTCCCAAAGACTGTAAGAAAAGGAAATTTATACATCAAATTTAACAGATTGATCTTAACACTGATTACTCAGTATAGGAAAACTGACAGAACATTTGAAATCTCTGCCTTGGCTGGAAGCTCTTGTGTTGTAGACCTGTGCTGAGCCCACAGCTGCCCATCTCCATGAGCAGGGTGAGGCAAAGAGCACCTGCCTCTCTGCTGGCACAGGGCAGGCCAGCTGCAGATGGACTGCATGGCATAGTCCTGGCTACTGAGCAGTGGTCAGGCATGTGCTGCATGATTTCAGCTGCTAGTGCTATCACTGTCCTTCCCAATTGGTTTATATGCCATGAAAAAAAAGAGAACAACAGAAAGTAAGAAATCCAAAGAAAAATAGTGCCCATTCCACAGCAGTGGGTGTCCAAGGCCCACCAGCATCCTGCTCTTTCAGTCCCCTAGTCCCTTAAAACCACTGACCCAAAACTACACTGAGACCATTCAGTGACTGCACCTCAGTGGGAAGGTGCACCAGGTGCTGGGAGTGAGGAAAAGGCAGCAGGACTGATACTGTGGCAGCTTCTGGGACAGGACAAGACAACTGATGATCCAACGCAGCTCAGTACATCGTGCCGCGGAGAAAGCTGAGCATTCTGCTCCAAACACTGCTAACCAGACCAAGGAGAGGGAGGGCAGCACCAGCAACCGTTGGCAGCAATGCTGCGGGGGGCACGCTTTCGCCAGAGTGGAGAGGACATGCATGTCCAGGGCATCTGTCCCGGGTCAAGGATGGGACACTCCTTAAACAGCTATAAGTATGGAATGGCAAAGGGAAGGGGAACGGGCCCAGCAGCTCAGCTCTAATAGTGTCGCTGGTAGGAGCCCATTGGTTGCTGGGCTGAAGACCCTGCTCGCCCCTGGGCCACGGTTTGGCTCACGAGGTGGGAGAGTGCAGGACCACTCTGGATAAGGGTGTCCAAGGCTTTCTGTACACTGGGGTTGTCAAAGTTGATACCAGAAGACACTGGCCTTTGAGCGGGCATGTTGCCGGGCGCAGGGAGGCGGGTTTGGTGCTGACCATAGAGCGACTGAGGCTGTGGAGGAGCCCCAGGTCTCGGACCAGCATTTCTTGAAGGGCCCTGGAGAGCAGGAAGCTGCGTGCTTGGAGTCTGCAATCTCTGCTGAGCCTGGTTTAAACTTCCAGCACTCATCTGTGCTGGCCGGGGCTGCCCACCAGCCAGGTTGGCAAAGTTCTGGTTCGGAGTGCTGCCCGCAGAGCCCGCGGAGGCTGCAGGGCTGCTGTTTGCCACAGCAGCGGCTGCGGCGGCGGCACCGCTGTTAAAGAGACTGAGGATTTTTGCTTGAAGCTCCTGCTGAGGATTAGAAGAGGACACTGGAACAGGAGGAGCAGACACCATAGGCTGTGAACCCTGATGAGCCTGAGAGCTTGGAAGGTTAGACTGACTACCCAGAGATGATCCTGAAGGTGCCCCCAAAGACTGCCTCGACATGGGTGCTGGGAAAGAAAGGAAAGAGGGTTAAAGCTCTGCAAATGCCCTTGAAGAGACACCTAAATAAAACTGGTGAAATAGCAACCAAAGACACAGCATCAGTGAACACGCACACTCTGATCCGAGATGAACAGCTCTGGGAACCCAAACCACCCTTCAGAACTGCTGCCCTCCACGTAGCACCCCATCCAGTTATGGCAGCCCCATAGCTGCCCTGAGTTCCACACGAAAACTCGGAATTGTCTCAGGGCTCCCAAGGACATACTCATCTCAGTAAAACGAGGCACTGTGTGATGATATTACACTCCTGGAGTCCTCTGCAGTCCCAGGACTCCCTTCCTGTCCCATCCCCATGGGCCACAAACCACACAGTAAGCTCTGCTGGGGCCGAGAGACTCACCCTGCAGAGACTCAGTGCTGCCCCGCAGTAACCGCTCCTTCCGGTCTCTCAGGTAATTAATGACTTTATCCATCTCCTCAGCAGTCAGGTAACGATTGTCTGCCAGCAGGTTGAGGAGAGTCTGGATCCCAGGAGGGTGACCTCCTCTGACGCCCTCCTCCAAGGGGGGTGGGCGCTCCCTCTCCTGCAGAACAGCTTCATCTGCCATCTTGGCAGCCTGCCGGGCGATCTCCTCTCGCTCCTTCTCCCGGGACTCTGTTTTGTAGCGCTCGTAATTCCTGGCCACAAGCACCATGGCGTCAGCTTGGGGCATGTTGCGGTGCTCTGCACAGGGAAAGGAAAGCTCTGAGTGCACCAAAGCCACGCTGAGGGAGGTGCTGTGCCTCCCACCCACCACCACGGCCCACTCAGCGTTAGGCACAGCCCTGGGAGTGCAAGCGCAGACTTGGGCCCGTCCCAGGTGCGAGGAAACAGTTACATTTCCAAAGCCAACAGAAGGCCCATGGCTATCGCCTAGCGAGATCAGCTTTTCCTTCCACAGCCGAGGGCTCTAAGCAGGCATTCCATCATCCCAGAAATGTCTTTCGTGCCTCTCACCAGTTAAAAGGAGAGCAGCTCCCTCTACCTCTCACATAAATCCTCTGTGCTCCAAGAGGAGACAGTTCCAGTCATTTTACTGCTAAATCCTTGCACAGATGTAAAACTTGCCCTCTGAAGGCTGTAAAGCTTTCCAGAGGAGGACAGTGATGGGAATACTTTGGTTTCTGCACTGCCAATGCCTTAACACTAACTAATGCATGTGCACATGCAGCTGGGGAGGAAGCAGCACTGGCTCAGTCCCACATTGACCACTCTGGGGCAACAAGCAGCAACCAAGTTGTTCTGTGATACAAGAAACAACAGATAGTTTCAGTGGAGGAGTCTGAGGTCATTACTTCCACCTCTCAAAGCACACAGGCAAACATTCCCCTGAACACAGATTTAAGCAGAGATCAAAAGAGTCTTTACCTTTCAAGAAGT